ATCTGAGGCAAGACGGAGGTCTGAAAACTGGGGAATAGGGAAGGAATGGCACCTAAACGGAAGGATGGAAGGAAAGGAGGGAGGAAAAATGGAGCCAGGGAGGAAGGAGGAAGAAACAGAGGGAGTGAGGGAGGAAAGAAAAGAGGAAGGCTTTATTAAGCACCTACTGTGTGCCCAGCACCGTGCTAAGTGCTTTACAAAGGCAGAACTAGGAACAATGGGCAGAGACTTCAGAAGCAGGTTTTGGTTAAATATTAGGAAAGCTGTCCAAAACCGGAATATGTCTCTTGGTGGTAGTGAGTTCCCCTCCGTGAAGATCTCTGAGCAGAAGCTGGGAGGCCACTGGGTGGCGGTACTGAGACAGGACTGATGCTCAGGACCTGACCTGTTGGACATTATCAGGAGTTCAAAAACACCCTTGAACTCAGGGATTCTGAGATTCAATATTGGCTGAGCATTTCCCGTGGCCGTGGCGCCGCCGCATGCACAAACGGCCAGAATACACTCGTCAGCTCCCGAGATTAGAGGGAGGCGGAAGGGACATTTGAGTTCCATGAAGAGCATGGACGAGGTGCGCTGCCAGCCAGGACCATACAAACTCGTGGTGGGGCTCAGAGTCCAGAGAGGCAGAGATCCATATTAACTGGAATTTGAGGGAGACCTCCATGGAAAAGGTGCGGCCAACTGGGCCCTGAAGGATGGGGGTGGATGCTCCCCATACAGAGCAACTGCTTCCTGAATGCTTGATGAGTTGAATTGAGGTCCTTCCAATATGATCAAAGAATGCATAGAGGTACTCTGGTGTAATGGTAAGCACACTGGCCTTGAATTCTAGAGGTTCTGGAATTTACAAGTAAGCTCTTTGAGCCTTAGTTTATCGAACGAACAGTTAAAAGGGCATATTAATATTTATCTTATCTCCCTCACAGGGTGATTGTGGAAAAAAAAGTTATCAGACCACGAGGTGCTGTTGAAACTTAAATTATTTTTTATTATTGTCACCAACAACTCCTGCTTTAGCCATCCTCCTTGTCTTTCCCCACCGAAATTATTTTCTTCCTTCAAGGTCCTGCTCAAGTACCTCATTCTCCATCCTCTCCATTGCTCTGTTATTGTTTCCTCCTTAAAATCCCTATTTAGAATATTGTTTCACTTGGCACTGGGAGCATCTTTGTAGTGGATAAAGCACTGGGCTCTGAGTCAAGAAGACCTGAGCTCAACTCTTTTTTGAGATATTTTTATTTTTTATTTTTTATTTTGTAAATTAATTTATTTTGAATTATTAACAATCACTTCCATAAGCTTTTGAGTTTAAAATTTTTCTCCCTCTCCCTCCCCCTGGACTCAACTCTTGCTACTGTACTAGGCTGTTAAAGCTTTTAAAGTGGTTGTTGTGACCCCAGGCAAGTCTTTTAACCCTTCTGAGTGGCAGTTTCTTCATCTATTAAATAATAATAGTAATAATTTGTTGTTAGTTATGTCTGACTCTTCACGGCTCCATGCCAGTACTGTCCTCGGGGTTTTCTTGGCAAAGATACTAGAGTGGTTTGCTATTTCCTTCTCCAGTGGATTAAGGCAAACAGAGGTTAAGTGACTTGCCCAGGGTCACACAGCCAGTAAGTGTCTGAGGCTGGATTTGAACTCAGGTCTTTCTGACTCTAGGCCCAGTGCTCTTTTCCCTGAGCCATCTAGCTGCCTCCAATAATAATAATACCTACAGTAATCATGGCACAGGGCTGTGGGGAGGCTCAAATGAATACTGGATGAACATCAGTTATTATTTTCATTATTATTTCCTACTGATCTGTCCTTTTGTATCTCAAATCAGATTGCAAGCCACTCGAGGGCAAGAGCTGAGTCTAATTAGTGAGGGAGGGATATCTTCTGCCACCTAGCCCCATTCCTAAGTAGCTGAATACAAAACATAATAAACAATAGGATGGAAGCTTCTTGAGGGCAACAGCTTTCATTTTTATGCCCCCAGTGCCTAGCACAGTGACTTAGTAGGTGCTAAAAATAATGTTTGCTTAATAAATTGCAGTGAACCATCAGGAGCCCTAAAGTCTCAAATTTTGATGTTTGGTGAGTGTGTGATTTGCTCTTTGGGATCTAAATGGAATAGGAAGATGATGGGGGCTGGGGGGCATCTTCCCTTTCTTCCACAATTCTCTGTGGGGTTGGAAAATTAGAATAAGGACTCATCCCCCATCTATGTTTCACCTCAACATTAATTTTTATTTATTTACTTATTTGCTTTTTGGTGAGGCAGTTGGGGTTAAGTGACTTGCCCAAGGTCACACAGCTAGTAAGTGTCAAGTGTCTGAGGTCAGATTTGCACTCAGGTCTTCCTGACTCCAAGGCCGGAGCTCTATCCACTGCCTCACCTAGCTGCCCCTTCAACATTAATTTCTAGTGCTGAGTTGGAGATATTACTGGCCCCATACTGGCAGCAGGCAGTATACCAAGGGCCCAGATCATCACATCTAACAGGAAAATCTAACATCTCTATGTCCAAGGTAGCGAAGACATACCATAGAGGGTTTGCAATAGGTTACGGTATAGAGCTAGAAACGACCTCAGAGGCTGGGCAGTCCAGTCTTATTTTACAAATGAGGAAACTGAGGCCCAGGGAATTTAAGTTACTCAGGCATAGTGACATAGGGTTAAGGATCAGAGGTGGGATCTAACACTAGAGACAGGACCTTTGAATCCCACAACTTGGGCTCTTGAGTTGGAGCTTTACAGAAAGCCATCAGGTTCCTCTGTTATAGTATCAGGAACAAGGGAGGCGGGGAGAGGGATATTTCAGTCATTCAACAGCTGATCAAGCATATTAATGTGGATGAACATTCTAAGGCAGTGGGGCACAAGGGGCAGCTAGGTGGCGCCATAGTGCACAGAGCACCCGGCCTTGAGTCGGGAACATTCATCTTCCTGAGTTCAAATCTGGCCTTGGACACTTACTAGCTGTGTGACTCTGGGCAAGTCACCTAATCCTGTTTGCCTCAGTTTCTTCATCTGTAAAACGAGCTGGAGAAGGAAATGGCAAACCAGTATCTTTTCCAAGAAATCCCAAATGGGGTCGGGAAGAGTTGGACAAGATTGAACAACAGTGGGGCCCAAGTGAAAGAACACGGAGCTGGGAAAGTACCTGGGCTACAGGCCCAACCAATTTAGTTGCAAGATCTTAGACAAATTCATCTATAAAGGTACATTCATCATCTTGGGCCACCTCACAGCTTACAATGAAATAACCATGGTATTCAATTAAAAACCACTTCAAGTGACTGCTATGTCACTGCACTAGTTCCTAAGGATACCAAAATGAAAATGGCATCCCTTGCCTTCAAGCAGATTATGTTCTATGGGGGCATTCCATTATTATTCTTACAGGGATAGGGATTGTGATTTCACTGGCATACAGAACTTGAAGATGGGGACATGCCCTCTGCTGATGCAAGTTAGCATCTTTTCTGCAACTTAATAGTCATGAAGAATTGCCCTAATGCACTGAATTGTTAAGGGATTTGTCCAGGATGTGTCAGAGGCAGCACTTAAACCTAGGTCCTCTCAGCCAACTCTAGCCAATACACCATGGTGTCTTTCCGCATTATTATTGCAATAGCCATATACACACACCCATACATACATAGAGAGTGGGAAAGCTTTTAAAGTGCTTTACACATATTAATTCATTTCATCTTCACAGCGACCTGGTGAGGTAGGCTGTGACTTCCCCAGGGTTGCACAGCTAGTAAAAGTCTGGCTTGGGAATTGAACTCAGAGCCCCAGGTGCCAAGTCCAGTTCTCTATCCCTCAACTATCCCTCTATCACGAAGCTCCCTACATGAAGCTCGTCAGCCTTCCTGAAGCAAGGTCATGAATGACTTTGAAGACTTAAAAATGCTGTATGACATAAAGTGGTATCATTATTACTCTGGAATATTACTTAACAGCGATTCTCTCCTTCTGGGGCTCCAGGGGTCTCCATTTCAGAGCAATTCTGGTTCTCTTCCCTCAGACGAAGGAATTCCTTCTCTGAGATAATAAAATTCAATCTATTATTTCCGATTGGGTTTTCTAAGCACGGTTGAGAGAGGCCAAAAGATTCATTTGATCAATGAAGGTATCATTTTTATTTCCCAGCGGTCTCATGAAGGGAATTTATGTCCCTTTGTGTAATGAAAGCCAGAATGCCAACCAGGAAATGGTGTCTAGCCACGGGGCTGCAGATTAGAATTTACAAGTGTCCCAAAGTTACAAAAACCTTCCAGGTAAACCAGTCTTTTCACTTTAATAGTCTGCTTAATAGAGAAAAAGCCCCTCACCTTTTCTGAATTCTTTTCTGAATTTTCTTGGTACTTTTCTTCATTTTTTTCCCTCTATGATGGCCAAAGGGTCTTAGATTTAGAGCTAAAAGGGACTTTAGAAGTCATGGAAAGTACGCTTGCAATTGAGAGTGGCAAAAAGGGCCCCTTTACTGATAGGCAAAGTAAGATAAAGAGAATAGGGAACTTGTTTGAGTCATCTGGCTAATCAGTGATGAAGACAGGTAAATCCTCCAATCCTGACTTACCCCTTCTTCAGAGTAAGGTGTTCTAGAGCCACCAATAACACTGAATATCTTTTATATGAAACTGTTTCCTGACCATACCATGTGGTAAACAGCCACCCATGATCTCTGGTCACCCTTGGAGCTCCATCCACAGGGACAGAGCTAGGATCTGGAGCCCATGCCAGGGAATGAATACATGAAGACAGCGAGGCTACTAAACTCCAACATACGACCCCTAGATGACCACACAGAGGGGATCCCATTGGAGGAGGTCTATCTCCAGCCCGCCCCTGGCCCCTACATTTCAGAGATTGGTCAATACTCCTCTACTTGTTTTGGAATCAAACTTTGAGGGGCCCTCCCATTACCTGACCTTTGTACTCTTTGTAATTGCCTTGATCTCAGCCCAGTTACCACAGCAGTGTTTAAAGTCCACCTCACAGAGGAGCACCTTAGCTGAATGCTCTCCATAATTCCCTTTGGCAGCTTTTTCAGTACCACCCAGGCTTGTCATTGGGCACCTGGGCTTCCCAGCAGGCCAGCTGGGGTCTAGGGAGAGGACTTGTCTTCTCTACTTGGCCACAGAATGAAGCTACTTATCAGAGCCCTCTTCTTGTGGTTGAGTCTAAGGGGTTGTGTGGCCCAGACTGAACCGGACTCTGAAACTGGGGAATCCTATTCTGACTGGGGTCTTCGGCACATCCGGGGAAGCTTTGAATCAGTCAACAGCTATTTTGACTCCTTTCTTGAGCTGCTAGGAGGAAAGAATGGGGTTTGCCAGTATAGGTGCAGATACGGTGAGTCCTGTGTCTTTCTATGTCAATATCGATTCCGTGGCTCCAGGCCTTAGGACCTGCCTGCCTCTTGTAGAAGAAATTTGTCCCACAATTCCCATCTGTCATGGTCTTCCCTACCCCCACCATCCCGATAGCTGCCAAAGGGCCTTCTGCCTTTTCATTGCCTTTGCAGGTTGCCTGGGGTGGTGAGGGGCCAGGACACAGGGAGAAGTTGTGTAAGGGATAGGGTGGAGTGAGGGCAGAGGGCATTTGAAGCCCCAGGATGGGATGAAATCAAGAAGGAGATGAAATATGCCTGAACATCTGGAGAAAATATCCCAGGTGGTGAAACAACCTCCCTGGGACAGGCTACTATTCTAGCTAGATTTTGAACCTGTCATTTTATAGTTGAATTATTTCACTCTGTTTTTGTTCCCACCTAATGTGAAGTAGTGGATGAAGTGCTTGATTTGGAGGCAGGGTGATTTGGGTTCAAATCTTGTCTCTGACACTTACTAGATATGTGATCAAGGGAAAGTCACTTTAGTAATTTCTCTAAACCTCAGGAAATTCTTGAAGACTATAAAGTCATAGCTGGATTGCATTTACTGCTGTAGAGGGAGTTCTCACATGTGGAAGTTCCCATATCCATGAAATCAAATCACTCTCACATTTTCCCTGAGTTATTAGTTGCGGTTGACGAGAGCCATGGGAACATCATTGGTATGGATGATGGGTATCTTCTGATACCTGACCTTTAGTAGAACAGAAGTAGAAATCTGAGAGAGAGTTCAAATCCCACCAGGGACACTTAATGCCTAAATGACCACAGACAAGTCATTTTGAAACACACATACACACACACACACACACACACACACACACGCACATGCACATGCACACGCACACGCACACGCACACACACACTTTAGTCTAAGGAAAAGACCCAAGACTGGCTTAGTGCAGTGCACTAGAAATGTCCAAGGATGCCTTATTTTTCTTTTTAACTTCTGAGTCAAGGATGGAACTTTCTTATAAGCCACCAGAGAGAAAGAACGCTGGCTGACACAGCAGGGACAGAACAAAATATTCCGTGGCTAACAATATTTTTTGCAATAGTTGGGGATGGAATGAAGAGGGAAGGTGTCCCATCACCCTTAATTCTGTCAGCATTCCATAAGGGCTTTAGACTTATCTAGGTAAGGCTAATGAGAGGCTGTGTTGGGGTAGTAGGTAAGCCAGCCTTGGTGCCGGGAAGATCTAGATTCAGATGCTGCTGCTATGGTGAGTTCCCTACACCAAAGAAAAAGAGTCTTAAAGTCCCTCTTCCCTTTCCCCTTCTCTCCACGTTGGACTAATAATTCCTACCTGGGCCATTCAAGTTAGACCCAAGTAAAAAAAGTTTATTTGTTTGTTTGTTTGGGGGTAGGGGGTAGAGAGGATTCAGAGTAACAAGCATCATCATTAGACCATGTTATATCAATTCAGTTTCTGGGTAGGAGTGAGGCAGTGTGTTATAGTGGATAGGATGTGACTTGGAGTGGGGAAAGGGACCTGAATTCAAATCCCACCCCAGGTATTTGCTAGCAGTGCAACCCTGGGCAAGTCACTTCAGCTGTCTCAGTTTCCTCATCTGTAAAATGGGGGTGATAATTATATTCCTCATTGAGAGAATTAAAGGTGATAAAGACTGCAGTGCCGTTTGTGAATCCCGAAGTACTATTTAAGTGTCAGCTATTACTAGGAGTGGAGTTTGCTCATTTCTGTCACCTGAATCAATTCAGGTACTGTCTCCCCAGACAACCTAAGAGATAAGGCTCCAGTTGTTTAAGGTTCAGTTCTGCCTAGGGGAGGCAGTTCCTAGAATATAAGAATTGCAGGACTTTTCCAGGAAAACAAGGCTGTTACTCCTTTTCCTCCCCCAGCAAAACAGCAGTAAAAGGCCCCAGCTCAGCAATCTGTAGACTGTCAAACTTCCCAGCTAGGTAGGGTTGAGATTAGGGACTCTGTAGAGTGGAGAGGAGATAAGAGGGAGATAGCTTGAAGGTAAACAAAGCCCCTCCTTCAAATGCAAGAACTTTTCCAAGGAGAGGCCCTCGCCAAAGAGAAAATTGGGAAGAGGGTTTTGAATCTGGTTATCTCTAGAACCAGAAGGATCTGAGGACCTAGGGGGATGATCTCAACTTATTAGAAGCATCTTCTGAAATCACAATGAGAAACAAAAAACTCTTTCAATATCCAAAAGGGTCTCCTTTGTCAGCCCTCCTGTGTCCTTAACAATCAGCCAGGACTTTTTTCCATCTCAGTTTACTTTACTGACCCACTCATGAAGGTATCTGAGGCACAGTATTGTCCCTTGAAAAAGTGGCAATGACCAGATAAATCAACCTGGAATCAACTACTCCCAAACTGAACTTATTGAGGTTTCTTCTTCCATTTTTGAAAGTTTTGACACATTTTACTTTTAAAAAATAGTTTATTATTTTTATTTGTTTTAGTAACAAATATTTTTAAAAATGAATCTGTCCTTGACACTACCTCTCACTCTCATTGAGCAAATTTAAAATAAAGGAGCAGACAAATCTGAAAAAACAAGGCTCTAAAAAAATAACTACATAGTCCATCAAAACAAATTCCCATATTAGTCCTGTCTGAAAATGTATGTTCATTACCTCCCAGTAACAATGAGTGGAATGTTTCATCTTTATTCTTCTGGATTAATGGTTTATCATTGCACTAATCAGAATTCTAAAGTCTTTCAAAATTACTTTTCCTTCTGATGTTATCATTGTATAAATTGTTCAACTGTTTCTTCTCCCTTTGTATCAATTTATAATAGGCTTCCCAGTTTCCTCAGAAATTGTCTTACTTTTTTTTTTAACAATAATTTTTTGTCACTCTCTTTCATTTTTACAATACCTCCATTCTGTGAGTGCTGGCTCCCCCTCCGAGGGGCAGATGACAATTCCTTCCCAGTTAGTACACATTCTTCCCCAAGTTTCTGTGGCTAAAAGACATCATTACTTGGTGGCTTATCTTCTAGTGATTCAATTCAATTCAACAAGCATTTATTAAGTATCTCCTATATGTCAGATATTGTGCTAGACTGGAAAGAAGTCATGATCTCAAGTGGATGATATGCTACCGGGAATGAACTACAGGGTTTGCTGGGAAAAGGAGGAGCACAGACAACTGCTTGAATCAGGAAGGGTCTTTTGCAGGAGATGGCATGTGAGTTTAGCCCAGAAGGTATCTAGGATCCCAGGAGGCTATGTTGAAGGGACAGCTTGTGCTATGGTGGGAAAGATGGCAGATGAAATGTTTCATTGGATGGACAGCAAGGAAGTCAATTGGGTTTCAGTAAATTTTGGTGACGGGGTGAGGAGCCTCTACAAATATAGCTAGCTGTGGTCTTCAGTTGATGTAGTAGGTCATCATTTGAAAGCTTGTAGGACCTGGCAGAGCTCTCTGCTGTTGTAACCATTGAGGAACCAAGGTCATTTCCATACTGTGATGAGACATAGAGTTTCCATGGAGTCTTCCATGTTATACGGTCATAGAAACTGGTGGTGCAAACCAAACATTAGTGTGAGAGTTTGAGAAGATTGAAAACTGAAAAAAGAAAAGGCTATATCTCTAAGGTACTCCTGTTGCTCAAGTCCTCAATTTCTTTCTTGGCAAGAAAGCAAGCCTTGCTCTTAGACTTCCACGATAGAATATCAACTCTGCTTTCTGCATATCTGATATCAAAAGCATATAGGTTTCCCTTTAATCAGCAATATACAAACACCTGTCTTCATTTAGAAGGTTTGCTAATGCAGGGACAGACATAGCACTTATCAACAGCTTGCTTAAGACATTTGATGTTTGTTTGTTTGCCTTTTGGTGAGGCAATCGGAGTTAAGTGATTTGCTCAGGGTCACACAGCTAGTTAAGTGTCATGTGTCTGAGGTCAGATTTGAACTCAAATCCTCCTCACGCCAAGGTGACATTTGATGTTTGACAATAATCATTTGTTTGTCTAATCTTCCTGGTTCTATGCCTGCATGAAGTTAGATAGTGCCAGATGTGCCAGATTAATTTAGCCCCTAAAAGAAACACCTGCATGAGAGACATGATGACCTCTTACCAGTGGATACAATGTCCTCCTGCCAATGAGAACGCTCCATTTGTACAGTGTTCTTATAGCTATGGTTGAGATATCATCAATGTCCTTTGTAAACAAGGACCTGCTCAATCTATTCTTTTTAGAAAATTATTGATATATTTTGTTTTGGAAGAACAATTACCACCCTGCTGTGGTCAAGGAGGTTTCCTCACTAGGAATTTCCTACACCAATGAAATCATTTGTCCAGTACTCTCCACACACTCCACCCCACCCCAAATCCCCACAAACTTTCATTTTTGTATAATTTACATTTCCCAATATTCCTTTCCCAAGAAGACTTGATTAGAGAGCTGCTTCTTACAACAAAGATTTAAAAAGAGGGAAAAAAGGGTCCAGCAAAACTGCCACCTAGCTCTCCACCTCTGAAAAGGAGAGAGAAATGAGCATTTTCTCATCTCTCCTTTGGAGCTGGTCTTGGGCATTATAATTTTTTAAAATTATTTTTTCCTGTGTCCTCACTTTTTAATTTTCAAAAATCTGGATTTAAATGTAAAAAACCCCCCACTAATTGTACAGTGGAACATACAAAAGAATTCTATGTGAAGTGAATATCTATTTCATACCATTTGCTTTTTTTATTAAAGCATATAATAAAGTCCCCAAGTTACTTTCAAAACTGTCCCATTTGTCTGTGCTTTCTTCTGAAAATCCTTCTTTTCCTCATATTTCCAAAAAAGAGTTTCAATGACTCTCCTTTTTTTTTGGCATCACTTGCTAACCACCTTTCTCTCTTTTTTTAATCCCCCCATTAAAAAGGAAAAAAAAAACACTTTGTATCATAAAAAGCATAGTTAAACAAAACAAATGCATACGGTGGCCATGTCCAAAAATCTATTTTTCTGTACCTTGTAT